GGGCAATGCTTTAAATTCCGTACATCGAAACATCGTCAAATTCAAACATGACTAGGATCTCATCCATATAAAGGATCACACCAAATTTCATTAAAATCAGTTGAAAGCTGTTGTAATATTACTATTTTATCGCTTTATACGTACGTGGTATTTGTGGTTTAAACTTAGCTCAGTCTTGACAAGAGTCATCTTTCTGTTTAGAACTCTTCTGTCTAAAGCCCAACGCAGACGAGGAACATTTTAAGAGAACAATCGTAAAAATTATGCTTCGATCATTTTTTTCACCGTCTGCGGATTACAGAAACACGAACAAAAATGTTCTTGAGAATTGTTCGTGAAATCAAACATGTTTGATTTTTAAAAATTGTTCGCCTCCCGAACAATTCTTTGTTCGCCGTCTGCGTTAACGACGAACATTAGCGTCGAACATTTATGGACGAAAGACCAATCAGCGATCGAAGTCAGACCACATGACACTCAAAATGGCGACGTCCAGTGAATCCACCAACACAAAATTTTGGACTGTGGAGAAGGAGCAGATTTTAGTAGATATGTGTTCGCAATCTGCCTGTTTGTTTATGATTTCTTCGCCCGACTATTTAGATAGGAACAAGAAGTACGCTGCGATGCAAGAAATAGCACAAGCCCTGGAAACAACCGGTAAATTTACAAGGTTGCCGGACACACCATGCTCTTTACGACGTTGAATCCAGGTACGGACCTAATTGCTCCTATTTCGCCGTCTACGTTGGCGTCTTTTTTTAAATTAATAAAATAGCTAACGCAATGTTACATAATCTTCTGGACGTCGCCATTTTGAGGTCATGTGATTCTCCGTGGCACTGGCGTATTGTTCGAACTAAATGTTCGTCGTCTGCGGAATTATGTTTGTCGTCTGCGGATAACGGAAAACAAATATATTTGTTCGATTTTCTTGTTCGTCGACAGAAATGTTCCTCGTCTGTGTTGGGCTTAAGAGAGTAGAACAGTTATTAATTTTCATAACAATGAAGTCCTCCACTTCATTTTTCTAGAGTTGGGATTTTGTGCTTGCTTGTCTAAAATTATGGATTTGCTAGGGAAGGGACCTTGTGCTTGCTTGTCTAAAGTCATGGCTTTGTCTAGGGAAGGGACCTTGAGCTTGCTTGTCTAAAGTCATGGCTTTGTCTAGGGAAGGGACCTTGTGCTTGCTTGTCAAAAGTCATGGCTTTGTCTAGGGTTGGGGCCTTGTGCTTGACTAAAGTCATGGCTTTGTCTAGGGTTGGGGCCTTGTGCTTGACTAAAGTCATGGCTTTGTCTTGGGTTGAGATCTTGTGCTTGCTTGCCTAAAGTCATGGCTTTGTCAAGAGTTGGGATCTTGTGCTTCCTTGTCTAAAGTCATGGCTTTGTCTACGGTTGGGGCCTTGTGCTTCCATGTGCTTTCTTGTCTAAAGTCATGGCTTTGTCAAGAGTTGGGGCCTTATGCTTCCTTGTCTAAAGTCAAGGCTTTGTCTAGGGTTGGGGCCTTGTGCTTCCTTGTCAAAAGTCATGGCTTTGTCAAGAGTTGGGGCCTTATGCTTCTTTGTGCTTTCTTGTCTAAAGTCAAGACTTTGTCTAGAGTTGGGGCCTTGTGCTTCCTTGTCTAAAGTCAAGGCTTTGTCTAGGGTTTGGGACCTTGTGCTTCCTTGTCTAAAGTCATGGCTTTGTCTAGAGTTGGGACCTTGTGCTTCCTTGTCAAGGGTCATGGCTTTGTCTAGAGTTGCGATCTTGTGCTTCCTTGTCTAAAGTCATGGCTTTGTCTAGAGTTGGGACCTTGTGCTTCCTTGTCTACAGTCAAGGCTTTGTCTAGAGTTTGGGCCTTGTGTTTACTTGCCTAAAGTCATGGCTTTGTCTAGGGTTTGGGCCTTGTGCTTCCTTGTCTAAAGTCAAGGCTTTGTCTAGGGTTTGAGCCTTGTGCTTGCTTGTCTTAAGTCATGGCTTTGTCTAGAGTTGGGACCTTGTGCTTGCTTGTCTTAAGTCATGGCTTGTCTAGAGTTGGGACCT